ATTCTTGACTACTCTAAAACTGATTTATATCAATTTCTCACCGAAAACATCCACCGTACATGTGATATGTATAGCAAGTTATTAAAAGAAAGTTATAATTAGAAGTGTAGGTAAACGAATAAATACGTATACGTAATGACTTCTCAAGTGGTGTACTTATTATAGAATTCACGGTGAATAGCGTCACGACACTCAACGTCTTTAGGTCACAATTTCACTGGATAGTAAATTCGGGGAATATTTTGATTCAGTCTTTTCTCACGCGGCCCTCTTAACTCATGTTTTGTCCCAAAGATTTTCTGTAAGTTGAATAAAAAATATTTGTCATTTTTAATTAATATTTATAGTAACGAATATATAAATATTATGAAGTTTAGCCATAATAATAGTTTCAACTATTGTGTTACAAAAAAAAACGAATCTGACATGAATGGCCGCCAATTTTTTTACTTAATAAAAGTGAAAATAATGCAAAAACCTATATAGCCTTTACTCTCACATTCGAAAATAAAAAACAACACACAGTACATATTCCAACGAACATCTACTTTTAAAAATAGCATAATACTAATGCTAAAATATGTAAGACGGTATCTTGTCTAAAAATAAAACTCGGGAATAAGAACCAATGATGAAAGTAATGTTTTACGTTAGTTACGTTTTTAGCAGATTGAAAAATAAAGGTGTTCATCGTTGTCAAATGACATTAAAAACACATTATTATAATTAAATTGTAAGAGTTTCTGAATAACGTCATACTTGACGTTGCTCAGAATTAAAATGAATATGTTCAGAACATAGGTCCCCAATTTAACCCTTTTCTTTTTAAATTGATTTTTTTAATCAAAAACCACATGAACGGTATCCAATAAAGTTACATTTGTAAAAATAAGTCTGTAACGAACATTAAGTTTGAATTGATCGAGTTAAAAATAAAAACATTGATAATGTGTCGATTCGCAGAGCAACTGACTGATCGGCTGTTCATTGATATAAAATATATTTCGATTAATAGCATAGGTAAATTGTCAACAATAAGTTACGAATATAAACCACACGCCAATCATCTCGGTAACTGGTGACGTAAATGGAGAATAGACGTCAAACCCAAGAAGCTTGGCGACATACTTCACTCGGGCCTACCCCGTAGCTTCAACCGCCCAATGCCCCGAGGTCGCCCAAGCAGGAAGTTAGGACAAATAACATTTATACAGCCATACTTAGAACTTATTTTCAACTCCGGAATGACATTGGCCACTCATATTCAAAACATACCGATGAACCACGTTCATTTCGGGCCGGCTATTTAACTAACTCCTCAAGTAAAATGTACGCTTGTATGTCCCACGCCCACGTAAACCTAAGTTTAGGATCTAAACATTCTAAATCTATGCATAAACCTCACAAAGCTGCATAAACTTCAGGTAAATCAAAATAAGTTCATCCACCTCGCTCCTGGTGCTAGATGGTATAAGCGGAACTTCGACCTGCCTAACGATTGCTGCCTCCCGATGCTGTGCGAAAACTTTAAAGAGTTAAAAAAACGGTTCATCGAAAGAGCCGAAAACCATTTCAATCTTCTGGTAGTAGCAACGAATTACCAACCCGTAAATGTTACCGTTTACAAACGTCGCCCTTGCAACGTCGTCGTCAAATGTACATCGGACCCACTGGGGGTCTCGCTAGACCGTGTGGGTGTAGCGTTGTGTGCTAACACCTAACCTCGTCTACGAGCAGGGCGTAACCAGTTCAACTTGGACAGACAGTACACTCGCGTTACAGGGCGGTTCTCATCAACCTAGCCACTGCTTAATACTGTCAACGGTCATCGGGGTCACGGTCCGTATAGGACCTCAATGGAAAGTAAGTGACCTTCTAATATAATGCCAATGCAAAGGACCATTTCAAGCACGTTAGTTTTGGTCAGCTCACAAGTTCTGCGTTCGATGAATAGTGTAGTCAAAAAGTTCAAAAACGTGTTAAATAGATATAAAGCTCCTAATATATTTATTGTATTTTTTACAGCATTGTTAAATATTATATGATAATGAAATTACAGCCGTTACATAATTTGTCAAGTTATAAATTGTTATAACTTTTAAACTATAAGAGATACGGTAAAGGACCTTCAGGTCATTTTTATAAAGGATTTATTTATCTTTGAAATGAATTCCAAATCGATTCTGTAACTATTGTTTATCAGTTGTTATAAGCATTTGTTTATAAAAATTTTAGACTTTTTTTTATATTTTTTGAAATTTCATAGCTTATAACTTGTTAACTAATATTGATACAGCTACAGACCCGAGAACTTTTTTGTTCTATAATAAAATATCGTTCTAGTTACAGAATCGATTTGGAATTCATTTCAATCTTGTTGGTTGTAACTGAAAAATCGACATAAAATTTTTTTTCCACCGAGATTTTTTTCGTTTAAGTGTCTAGATTACACCATAATTTATAAAAATTTTTAAATTGTTATTTAATACTATAAAAAAATTATTTTAGGTGATATACCGGCTTTTTAGACGGCGCGCCTATGCCGTAACGACCTCGCGGGCCCTATTTTCAGCGTTAAAAAAAATTATAAATAATAGAGATAGAATTCCGGGAGTTGGGACTTTTTTATTGAAAATTTCCTCCTCCTTCAAGATCTCTTTTCAAAATTCATTAAATATCATTATTTTAGAAATTATTAACAAAAAACTAAATACCCTTTTTTTTTAATCTTATTTTGTTAATAACAATCGCAATTTTTTATGTGCTAATAAACCCTTAAAAAACATTTTTCTAGGCGTCATTCCGAATCGAATGAGCTATCGCACATATTTTTAGGAGCTTTATATTTATTTAACACGTTTTTGAACTTGTTGACTAGACTAGAAGTTTTATGAGTCTACTATCTACGAACTGAAAGCAAACGCATCAGTTAAAGTAAAGAAAGTGTTGTTTCCATGAAAACACAGAGATAGAGTAAAAAAGAAATGATCTCAAACATTACAGAAACGAAGCTCGATGGCCCGTGGATGATTTCCTATCTAGCTCATTTCTTTTTTCTACTTTCCTTTTTATTTCACTCTTAACTTGATGATCACTCACAAGAGGTATGTTTTTCTTAATACTTTTGTAAACCCAATAACAATTCCTTTTGTTAAATTTCTGAGGATACCTGGAAGAAATTGGTGTGTAGCCATAGAGGTCGCCTTTTGACGACCAATATTTGATAGATTTTCTTTATTTTTGTACTTTTTCTTTTTTGGTGTACAATAAAGCATATTATTATTGCACGCGGAGGGTCGTTTCAAGCTCGTGGGTTCAGGCTAAGACACGAGTTCTGCGTTCGATGAAGCTTTGATAGTATACGGACTCAAAGGAAAACATCAGTTAAGCGGAAAAATTTCAACAGAACAAGATATGAGACAAGCTTGAGTATTAGAGTTAACATAAATAATGTTGAAAGTTAAAATATGTAGGTGAACAATTTAATTCACTTGTTAATAAGCACTGCAAACTAGTTGCAAACAGGCTCGATTAGTATAATACAAATATAACAACAACCTCACAGAAGTTGGGCCTGATGCTTTCGAACGAAACGCAAAAAGTTGAAAAGTAATTCAACTTTTTGCGTTTCGTTCATTTTCACGTAGAACTACTGTGAGTGTCAAAAATTCTAATAACGACTCGGAAAGGCCGTCTGCGTGGGGAAATAAGAGCGGACTCGGTTTAATCACAAGCACTCGCAATGTAGGTTATTTAATACTATTGATAATTTCGCACCAGCGCTCAATATCCGCACACATTCGCTAAAAAGATAATTTCGAGCATTTATACTTTTACCATAAAGCCAGTTTAACGAAAAAGAAATTCTTATAATGAAATTGGCGTTTTCTTATTTATTGCTTTAAGATCTTTTTATTACCACATGAAAAGGTTTTAGTAGTTAAATAAAACAATTTTTATGTTATTCTTAATATAATGGAAGACTTTTGGAGGCATACATTGTTTACAATTTATTGTATTCAGACCAGGGTTAGTCAACCTTTTTACCACACTATTTTCAACTTACCTTAATTTTTTATGTAGGTTGAAACAAAATTACTAACCGTCAAACATGGGGGATTAATCTCTATATATAAAAATGAATTGCTGTTCGTTAGTCTCACTAAAACTCGAGAACGGCTGGACCAATTTGGTTTTGAAATATTTGTGGCAGTCCAAGGTTTAAACGATGAGAAATTATGGAAAAATTGCATCGAAATAGCAGCAATTGTATTTTCCCATATAAACTGTTCCTACCCGTCATACATTTTATGCGTGCGTTCTTAAAATTATTTTTCTACGCGTTCAGATTCATAAATTCCCTAGCAATAATTTAAATGACAAAACATCGTCTGCCGGGTCAGCTAGTATTTTATAAAATACATTCAAAAATTGTTAAATTCATCATCATTAATTGTTATTTTATTTATATGTTTTACATATTAATTGTTCAATCATCATTATTAATAAGGAATTCCGTCGAGTTTAATTTAAGTTCCCCACCCTCTTTCATGGGAAAATAGTTTTATTTAGCTTTGAGCTGTGTTCGCGTAAATATAAGAAAATTATTTCAATACTTTAAAAAACTCAAAAGAAGGTAACTGTTTCCTTAATTTGAGAAAAACCCTTTCGTGAATATATTCACCATGTGAGGTAATTACTAGGTTGACTACCACTGGTTTAGACTAGTATAATTATAATTAAATTTCTTTCAAATACATATTTTGTATTGGAAAAACAGTAATAAGATAAATTCATCAACAATAAATATTCTACATAGTTTACTACAAAAAGTTACATTTGTGCTATCGTTTCAATATTTGCTATGGCACTTACATAGTTTGGAATTAATAAAAATTAAATGCTAGTAATACTGAGGAAAACATCTCACACAAACTTCTATGTGTAGTACATTGAATTATATGGAATGAGTGTAGTATATTGTTTGTATTGACACTTTAAATTGTTTTAAGTGTTTTCCTCAAAGTGTCTAAATAGATATCTGCATGTTTCCTTTGGAATATCAAGGCCGGTCGAATACGAATTGCAGTCTCCCCGCATACTCCACCAAGCACACCTGAAAAATTTTAAAACACAATTCAAGTAAAATGAATTTCTGAACTGTGAATAGAGGTTTCTCTTCGTGAATGTTTTAAATGGGTAAAAGGGAAATTTAAGATAAGAAGTTTTAGAAACGATACAGTTCAATTTAGAATAATTTTACACCTAGTCAATTTCAGAACTATTGCGTTTTCCGTGAGACAATCAAACATTTGAGCTTACGTCATAAGTCATCAACGCCCTCGAAAAAGCGACAGCAGAAAGCTAGGGCAGAATTCTCGTTTCACTATCCTAGAAGAGGTAGCTTAAATCCATGCGTCTATGTGTCATGGTAAACCGGCAACAAGTCGATTTATAACAACATTAAGTGATATAACATTAGGTATATAGATGCGTTCAAATTGTATAAACTCTGAGAATCTGAAAATTGATGACAAAAAATATTATAGAAAATATACGTATACGATAGGACCACACGATTTTGATTTAAACAAATTTCATTAAAATCTATAAGTCCGTGCAATTAAACTGATTCAACTCTTGATGCCGTATTATATTTTCAATTTTAATATTAAGCGGCTGTTTGTCATTGCAATTTATGGCAAAATGAAAATATGTCAGTCCTTATATATCACCACGACCGTTTTTAAATGATGAAATAAACCATAGATACTCTCACCGTTTTTCTTCAAGTCAGCGTTTATCTTGTCCCTCGCTTCAGACGTGGGCGCGTTGAAAGCTATGAATGTGCCAAGACCTCGTACACTGCTGATTACGTGCGACATCTCGTTCTCTAGTTTATGGAGACCCTCCTTCAAATAATTGCCGGTGTCCTGAGTCGAACAAATTAGGTTGTCCTCTTTAATGACTGATAGCACTTGCTTAAGCAGGATCATCTTGCCCGGGTCTCCCATCCATGTGTTGAAGACTCTGTACGCCTGTGGGGGCCTGTAAGTTAAACGGAAAGAACTCGGGTTACGACTTGAACATTGTTCTGTGGTTTAACACAATTTGTTTTATGTGAGAAGCTGGCAAGAGAGCTGGTGGTTTACCTGATGTTAACTGATAACCACTGCCCATGGATATTTGCAGCACCCGGTTGCAGAAGCGTTGCCACCAAGTTATAATCAAGTGGGCCCCGGCTACCGCACTGATCAGAAGAAACGCAGAAGTATGACACTTTCACTTCATGCCAGTCTTCTGTGAGGTCGTGGTACTTACACGGGCGGACCTGCTCATTCGTGCACTAGCCGACGCTGCTGCGTGACCCTTCCACAGTACGTAACTTGTACGTAAGATAAAAAAAATCGATTTTTTTATCTAAAGCGAGGACGAAATATTTACGTTACGTTACGTAACGTAAGTTACGTTTCCCCTCCATGAAAAAATAAGAAACTTTGTGTGTCATGTCATCCATTTTAACGCCATAAAGTCTTAGCGGATTTGATTAAAATTCTATTCCACGGTTTTGTTTTAGTCCTCCTACTGTTTGGAATAAAATGAATCATTCGTTTTCCATACAAATTACAGTTAAACTCATTCCAACCGGAGCCACGAGTGCGCAGAATCGTTTAATAATAGTCTTACATGAAACTCTCGCTGAAATAGAAGCCTCCAGTGAGCATCTTCTTGCTGAAGGTGACGATGTCGGGAGGCGTGGGTAGGTCGAAGTGCTCGTGGCACCACATCTTGCCAGTGGGCCCGCAGCCTGTTTGCACTTCGTCTATGATGAACGCAACGCCGTTCTGCGGAATCATAAACAGATATTATTGAGACTGTATCGAGCATAATTATCGGAATGGTTGTTGAATACGACATTGAACCGGTGGTGTTTTAATAAAGGTGACCGTACTGCGCGGCGTTTAAACATTGTTCCGCTTCACAAATTTTATGACATATATATGTGAACGTGACAGGTGATATAGAACGTATGATACGGAAAGAGATAGCAGTCTATAGAATTGCAATATAATTATACAAATTAGTGTAATTTGAGAGCGTCAGTTTCGGTGCGTTTGTGTCATATCTACCTCGTATTTGTATATAATATCATTGCATAGAGCCCCTTTCTTTTTCATTCATAAACATGTATACCATGTACCGTTGACAAATATATGGGTGAACGATAAATAGGTGAAAGTTATAATACCGCCTTTTATTGATACCTTGGACCCATCAAAGCATTTTAGCAAAGTAACAAAATACCTAACTAAGTCAAAAATCTACATGGATGCATTTATTTCTTTATATTGCTATTTCCGACAACGCGGCCCGCAATTTGTATCGGATAAGAATATTGTTTGCGCATTAAATGTAACGACTGAGATAATTTTTTTAATGATACCGTTATCAGTCGATTGTATTGACACGTTAGTTTGCATTGCAACATGTACATTAGCAAGTAAATAAAAAAAGAAACAAAACTGACCTTTTTGCATATTTTCTGTAGATTCCTGAAGAATTCGGATGACGCATGGTTGTCACCGCCCTCTGCTTGAATTGGTTCCACGACGATCGCGGCTACTGGTTTGCACTTCTTGTACTTCTCTATTATATCTTCCACTTGCTCTAAACATCTTTAAGAGACAGTTGCATTCAGCATAGATATAGCAAACATAGCTGCCGATGTTAACAAAGCAGATGCCATATGTGCTGGCAATAACAGCGTTGCCATAGTTGCTACCACCATTGCACCATTCGTGCAGCTATATTTTATATTGTATATCATATATGTTAAACTTAAAAAAAAAACTTTAAAAAAATCTAGTAAACATAAACGCCGGACAGTGCTTTACACATAAAAATATATCAAAATCGTCAATAGATTTGCTCGAAAGATAAAAAGTTATAATAATGGTAATGAAACTGATACAAAAACAAGTGCTTTTAAGGGCTATCATGCTTCTATGCGCTAATAAAACATACTCACTTTTTATCCTCTTCACAATTTTCACGTTCGTTCTGATCTAACGGGTATTTGTATTTCGGAAAAGGCGCCATTGGCCAATCGAATGCTGGACAGTCCAGCTTATGAATGGGCTTTGATCGGGTAGTGGACAAAGCGCCAAATGTGCGGCCGTGAAAACCGCCCTAAAATGAAAACAATCAAAGACAAAATTTCAAACTTGACAATAATAATTGGTCAGAATGTTACAAAGGGCAGTTCTCTAATGAAATTCAAAGTTATTTAAATATTCTTACGAGATCTTACGAAAAGATCAAAGACTTACATTAAACGACATAATAGAGAGATCAGGGGCTCCCGGAGGCTGGTTCATCATACATGACTCCATTTCATCCGTTGTAAAATCTGTCTTTCCCCCGCGTTCCTTGGTGCGGTACCACATGAGGGCAGTTTTGTATGCGTTTTCGTTGGAACAAGAACCGCACATCATGGTCGCTATGCAATTAAGGCCACGAGGCGCCACCGACATCAACACACTCTTCAACATTTCGGGCCAGTTTGAAGAGGGAAAGACTCCTATTGCCGGTCGATTGATCAGTTGTTTCTTAAAATTAAACCGTTTAAATGTTAAAGTTTAATAAGTGTTAGTTTTTAGAGATATATTTTGGTAGCTATAGAACCGTTCGTAAAAAGGTTCCGTAAAGTTAAGTTAAAAAATGTTTGGCCCTTAATCTTACCAAGTTATGCTGATCGTTAAAAATGTTCATCAACTTTGGATGGTTGTACCCAATAGGTATAGACGATATTTGAGTGAAAGCATCAAGAAACGTGTTACCGTCGGCATCAACGAAGTAGTTTCCAATGCATTTGTCATAATCGGCGAACAGTTGCACTGCACCTGCTTGCTGAAGACATACAAAATAACGGTTACAAAATGATAGTTTAAAAATAAAATATGCTACAACGAAAAATAATATAGGTGAGAGGATTAAATTACTATTTATTTATATTAGTTTAGTAATAAATTAAATTATAGTAAAGTAATTAAATAACCGATGGTTGCTACCCAATAACAGACCCTCTTTGGTACTCCTAAGCTTGTGTCTGCATATATTGTTATTAATAGTATTTGTGCATATGTTCTTTTTGTCAATAATTTGTTTGATATCATCAGTGAGAATGGAAGTAGGGAAATAGGCCGGTAATCGGAGAAAGTAGCGGGATTATTTTTTTCGGGAGAGGAAGAACATTGGCATCTTTCCAAGCCGAGGGAAAAGAAGCAGTTTTCAGGGAATTGTTGAGGATAGAAGTATTACAGGGGTAAGGAAGTTCAGAAGAGAAAAGACCATTTTACGGCTAACGCAATCAATACAGACAGAGTTCGAATGGATGGACGATATGGCTCTCTCAACATCACGATCGTCGATTTGACTAAAATTAAAAGCGGGAGTATTAGGAGTTGGAGTGTTTGAAAGGGAATATAGAGTGTTAGCTTTTGCTTCATTATTAATGCAAGACGAGGAGGAAAAATGCTGATTAAGCTGATCAAGATCAGTATCATGAGAAGAAATGTTATGGCGTGATTTCCCAACTCCTAAGGCTTTAAGAAATTTCCAGACCCTGGCAGGGTCAGGGTCGTGGAATGAACTTATGTGAATATGGCGTCGTTGTGCTTTCATACACACATTGTTGCAACGATTTCGTACCAGACTATATTTATCTTTTTTATGTCAACTAAGATTTGACTTGTATTTTGATTGGCATGTTATTTTTTGTCAATAATTTGTTTGATATCATCAGGAGAATGGAAGTAGGGAAATAGGCCCTGGGGTTTGCAATCGGATTACGAGAAAGTAGCGGGATTATTTTTGGGAGAGGAAGAAACTTGGCATCTTCAAGAGCCGAGCGAAAAGAACGTCAGCATTTTCAGAGACGCAATTGTGGAGGGGATTTAGAAGTAGACGCTAATTACAGGGTGTAGGGTAAGAAAGTTAGTCAGAAGAGAAAATACCATTTTACGGCCTAACGCAATCAAGACAGATCAGAGTTCGAAGGATTGGACGATATTGGCTCTATCAACCATCACGATCGTCGATTTGACTAAAACTAAAGCCGGGATGGGAGGAGTCTTAGGACAGTTTGGGAGCCGTGTTTGTAAAGGGAAATATCAGATGTTTAAGCTTTTGCTTCTCTTATTCATGCCAGAACGATGATGGAGGAAAAAATGGCTGATTAAGCTGATCAAGTCAGTATCATGAGAAAAAATTTTATGGGCGTGATTTCCCAACTCCTAAGGCTTTAAGAAATTTCCAGACCCTGGCAGGTCCAGGGTTCGTGGACTGACTTATTATATGGGCGTCGTTTGTGCTTTCCTACACACATTGTTGCAACGATTTCGTACCAGCCTATATTTCTTTCTCTTTATTACGTCACTAAGATTTGACTTGTATTTTGATTTGCGTCCTTGTTCGTTTTTTTCAATAATGTGTTTGATATCATCAGTGAAGAAAAATGGGAACGGTAGGGGAAAGGCCGTAATCGTGGACAGAAAATCGGGGATTGATTGTGAATGTTGGTCGGACCGAGGAAGACAGGAATGTGGCATCTTTCCAAGCCGAGGGAAAAGAAGCGTTTTCAGGGAATTGTGTGAGGATAAGAAGTAATTACAGGGGTAAGGAAGTTCAGGAAGAGAAAAGACCCATTTTACGGCTAACGCAATCCAATACAGACAGAGTTCGAATGGATGGACGATATGGCCTCTCTCAACATCACCGATCGTCGATTTGGCTAAAATTAAAGCGGGAGTATTAGGAGTTTGGAGTGTTTTGAAAGAGGAATATAAGTGTTAGCTTTTGCTTCATTATTAAAGGGAAGACGAGGAGGAAAAATGCTGATTAAGCCTGATCAAGATCAGTATCATGAGAAAAAATGTTATGGGTCGTGATTTCCCAACTTCCTAAGGCTTTAAGAAATTTTCCGCATTCCAGACCCTGGCAGGGTCCAGGGTTCGTGGACGACTTATGAATATGGGCGTCGTTGTGCCTTTCCTACACACATTGTTTGCAAACGATTTAGTACCAGCCCTATCTTTCTCTTTATTTAAGAATGCAAGTAGGGAAATAGGCCGGTAATCGGAGAAAGTAGCGGGATTATTTTTTTCGGGAGAGGAAGAACATTGGCATCTTTCCAAGCCGAGGGAAAAGAAGCAGTTTTCAGGGAATTGTTGAGGATAGAAGTAATTACAGGGGTAAGGAAGTTCAGAAGAGAAAAGACCATTTTACGGCTAACGCAATCAATACAGACAGAGTTCGAATGGATGGACGATATGGCTCTCTCAACATCACGATCGTCGATTTGACTAAAATTAAAAGCGGGAGTATTAGGAGTTGGAGTGTTTGAAAGGGAATATAGAGTGTTAGCTTTTGCTTCATTATTAATGCAAGACGAGGAGGAAAAATGCTGATTAAGCTGATCAAGATCAGTATCATGAGAAAAAATGTTATGGCGTGATTTCCCAACTCCTAAGGCTTTAAGAAATTTCCAGACCCTGGCAGGGTCAGGGTCGTGGACTGACTTATGAATATGGCGTCGTTGTGCTTTCCTACACACATTGTTGCAACGATTTCGTACCAGCCTATATTTCTCTTTATTTACGTCACTAAGATTTGACTTGTATTTTGATTTGGCCTTGTTCTTTTTGTCAATAATTTGTTTGATATCATCAGTGAGAATGGAAGTAGGGAAATAGGCCGGTAATCGGAGAAAGTAGCGGGATTATTTTTTTCGGGAGAGGAAGAACATTGGCATCTTTCCAAGCCGAGGGAAAAGAAGCAGTTTTCAGGGAATTGTTGAGGATAGAAGTAATTACAGGGGTAAGGAAGTTCAGAAGAGAAAAGACCATTTTACGGCTAACGCAATCAATACAGACAGAGTTCGAATGGATGGACGATATGGCTCTCTCAACATCACGATCGTCGATTTGACTAAAATTAAAAGCGGGAGTATTAGGAGTTGGAGTGTTTGAAAGGGAATATAGAGTGTTAGCTTTTGCTTCATTATTAATGCAAGACGAGGAGGAAAAATGCTGATTAAGCTGATCAAGATCAGTATCATGAGAAGAAATGTTATGGCGTGATTTCCCAACTCCTAAGGCTTTAAGAAATTTCCAGACCCTGGCAGGGTCAGGGTCGTGGACTGACTTATGAATATGGCGTCGTTGTGCTTTCCTACACACATTGTTGCAACGATTTCGTACCAGCCTATATTTCTCTTTATTTATGTCACTAAGATTTGACTTGTATTTTGATTTGGCCTTGTTCTTTTTGTCAATAATTTGTTTGATATCATCAGTGAGAATGGAAGTAGGGAAATAGGCCGGTAATCGGAGAAAGTAGCGGGATTATTTTTTTCGGGAGAGGAAGAACATTGGCATCTTTCCAAGCCGAGGGAAAAGAAGCAGTTTTCAGGGAATTGTTGAGGATAGAAGTAATTACAGGGGTAAGGAAGTTCAGAAGAGAAAAGACCATTTTACGGCTAACGCAATCAATACAGACAGAGTTCGAATGGATGGACGATATGGCTCTCTCAACATCACGATCGTCGATTTGACTAAAATTAAAAGCGGGAGTATTATTAGGAGTTGGAGTGTTTGAAAGGGAATATAGAGTGTTAGCTTTTGCTTCATTATTAATGCAAGACGAGGAGGAAAAATGCTGATTAAGCTGATCAAGATCAGTATCATGAGAAGAAATGTTATGGCGTGATTTCCCAACTCCTAAGGCTTTAAGAAATTTCCAGACCCTGGCAGGGTCAGGGTCGTGGACTGACTTATGAATATGGCGTCGTTGTGCTTTCCTACACACATTGTTGCAACGATTTCGTACCAGCCTATATTTCTCTTTATTTATGTCACTAGGATTTGACTTGTATTTTGATTTGGCCTTGTTCTTTTTGTCAATAATTTGTTTGATATCATCAGTGAGCCATGGAGAAGGAGGGTGTCGAACGCGCACAGGACGAACAGGAGCATGAATTTCATAAAGTTGAATTATAAGAGAATTAAATAAGGCTACCTGTTCGTCAACCGTAGGGGCGTCACCACATTCCAATGCATCTTTTCCGCGTCCAGAAGAAGTTGCTTTTCGTCCATACCACTAAAGTTGCGCTGAAGTAAGAATCTTGACTTGGCTTTGGGAGGTCTAATTTTGTAAGATAGGAAAAGATCGTGATAGGAAAATGCATCGGCGGCACAATGGCCATGTTTATAAACATGATCAAGAGAAGAAACAAACATTAGATCGAAAAGGGAAGGCGCACAATTTGGAAAAAAATGAATAGCAGATAAAGGAAGAAGGTTTAAGTTTGCGGCCTCTATAATAGATTTAAGTTAGTTATTAGATAATATGTAATGTTAGATAGATTAAATCTTGTAAATATAATTGACATATTAAATACTTTTACTGTTATTATTAAAGGATTGTTTTATACTATATAGTGATGCACAGCAAAGAGACGTTTACATTTCAAGAGACATTTACCACAGTCACTTGTTTTGCCTTCCCGGAACCCCTTCACTTACACTTAAACTTTATGGTATGATATTAAAGTTCAAATTGACTTTTAAGTATTATTAAGAATTTTTTGTTTGAAAAGTCTTGTTTTTATATTTTTTCCCTCCGTAAGAACCATCTTCCTATTTCAAAGAATATTATAAAAAAATAATTAGCCAAATCGGTCCAGCCGTTCACACGTGATGGCGTGACCAAGGGAAATAGGGATTCATTTTTATATACATATTATATAGATAGAAAACGATATGTGTTTTCGTATGATTTCTCGATAATATATTATAAAAGATAAAAAAATACTTAATCCATAAGATTACTCGGATGTTATACTCATTGATAATTTTTTTTATCAATTGAGTATATTTGTTGATTCGCGTTAGTTTCCAAAACGAGAAAATATATTTTCATAGATAGGTCTTTTGTTAGAAGAGTAACTAACTGTTCATACAGCGATCATGGCTACTTATACCAATTCATCCGATCCTTCCAGAAAATGAGCCTAAGAAATTACTTAACTAGACCGTTTTCTTTTTCAATTTAAGTTACTTTTTACATGATACATGAAGTAGTTAAATTTAAAGTTTACAGGTTTCTCCTATAAAGCTATTTTGATGGATTTATTTACTTAGTTTGTAATTATATTACATCAGAAGAGCAAATGATTACAAGATGTGTTTGAAGTCGCTTCACTGTATGTTAAAGTAAAGTAACAACCTATGTGTCCCACTGCTGGGCAAAGGCTATATAGAGGGTGGATGGACGGACTTCACAATCTTCAAAATATTTTTTATTTGTTATTATTTAGCAGGTTTCCTCACGATGTTTACTATCATCAGCGCTTAAAATTGTAATTAACAATTTCATTGGTGCAGGCACCAGGAATTGAACTCAGGTTACTCGATCTCGTATTAATGTATTAGTACCTGGAGGAGGAGGTTTTTTTTTTTTTAATTTACCGTCGTATTCGAATAATATTTTTCATTCCCTGAAAACTGGGATAAAACGACATTTCCTAAAAATGAAACCTAGTCAGATCGATTTTTCGCCCCCGAATCTACGTACATACTAAATTTCATGAAAATTGCTGGAGTTGTTTCCGAGATCCCAATTATATATATATATATATATATATACAAGAATTGCTCGTTACTTTTTATTCGTTACTAAAATAAAACGAGACTTGAGAGAGATCGAGTGTAAACACCGTGTGAATCAAGTTATGACTGACTGAGTATAGTTCCAGAAGGGTAAAGTCGATGAACCACTATTAGTGTATGCCCCATCAAACATTGTATCCGATCGGAGATAAGTTGCATCCGGTAAAATTGTATTTTTTTTAAATTGTACATAGGCCTGCTTAGATATATTGATACGTTTTAGTTTCCCCATGCAGCTAAGTAGTTATCAGGCGATAACTAGGGAGAAAATTAAATTAGTTATTCGTATTTGGTATACCAATTACCACAGCTTCTTTCCAGAAGTTCAACAAGGAAGCGCATTAAAATGTTAGTAGACCTGCGGATCTGGGAACTCATTTATTATTTATTGCTTGCGGCCTTCGCCAGGATCACCTTACGCTTTGTAGAAATTATAATAGCATTTGCAAGTAACTTTGACTTTATCGTCGAAAAACCAAATTCGGACAGTTTTGAAATTAATTCTACCCTCATCCTAGATTCCATAGAATCAGTAAATCTTTTATGGGACAATGTACCTACCTCTACGGTTTTACAACAAAATTCCAGAAAACGTACAAAATGAATCAGTTGCTAAATTCAAAAAACTTGTAAAGTAACGTTTGTGTGAGAGGCTATTATAGTATTAGTCATTATTTAAATGATAACATATTCTGGAAATGAATTGATTGCACTAGGCTCTTTCAAGTGGAATTGAATATATTGTATAAATGTTTGTTATATTAGTGGAAAAAAATTGTCCCACTGAGTTTCTTTCGCCGGTTCTTCTCAGGTTTCAGTGGCTTTTTTGCCGAACCCGTAATAGTGTTTTCTGAAAATCAATAAGCAAGTGTAATACTGAATAAAGATATTTGAGTTTGTTTACATGTTTGTATTTCAAGGTCCATAGGGCGAAAAATATGTCATGATAATAGCAATATTTTATGAATGCCAAGTATGCAATGCGTATAAGTTCAATAACAATGTTTAACGCAAATTCATTAAAGTATTTGAATGAAAAGAACGACAGAATGTAAGCGCCGGCATCAAAAAGACCTTCATCAATAAAAATAAATCTAATACCAAGTTTTAAATGATAATCGTTAATACGCACTGCACAATGATTTTTTTGGTATAAAAAATTTTAATTGACCCATTTAATAACATGCCGTCGTGTACAAAGACTTATTTATTGTATGAATTCATCTATTAACTGAATTGAAATTTGGTAAGAAATGTCACTTATTTTGCTAAGAAAAAAAGAAACTATTTTTGCCAGTGTAAAAATAATAGAAGCATCGAGTTATAAATAAAAATAATGACAGGAAACACTCCCCACACAAGAATTGTTTGGGCACGATGTAGGGACTACTCTGATTCCCCCTTTATTGGAACCTGCTATAAATAGCAACCTATCGGTTATTACATAATTACACAACATATGTACACATAATAGGACAAATGAATGCGTTTTCAAATTAGTTCCAACAATATGGCGGTATTTTCAAATGGGTAAATAATTTAAGGACACATTTTGATGTTATGGTTAAAGAAAAGATTGAAATCGACTGTATAAAATGCAACAAATAGGAATAGTTTTGGTATTTAATGCTTCTTAGATAACATTTTAAATAAATTACTTATATAAACGTAAAACCTCGTAAAATTGAACATAAATTTCGAGAATACCTTAATGAACTAATTAACAAAAGGTGACATTATTTCGAAATTAAAAATATAATTATTAAGAACTTATAATACTTAACCTGTAGTGAGTTCAGTTCTTTAAAAAGTTGTTGTGTTTTCGGTCCGGGAACAGGAGTTCGTATGCATGGTTTTTCAGGTTCACATTCAGTGCTAATTGATGAATACCTGAAGTCTAAAATTTAAATGCATTTTTCACAGGTCTGTATGTACTTATGTGTATAGGCTTCATATTAATGTATGCCTTTGCATTTTTGGATCATCGAATGTGGAAAACCTTTTTGGGTACACAAAATAATCGTGTTTATAAGACAAAGAAAGAAAAACATTGACACAATAATTATGATCCTTACAATTTTTTATTCCCCGTTAATGAAACAAATGGCTTGTCACTTATATCTGTACATTCAGCTATGATGTAATTTTTATTGTAGGTTCCTACTAATACATAAAACCATTTATCAAATTTCGACCGTCGGAAATTAATAGTTTCGGAGATATTAATAGTAGAATTACTGATTAAGTATATTACATTGACATGGCTAAGTTTTCCATTGACGTCCGTCGAGTTGGAGGTTGATATTTTTTTTACACAAAGTTTACATTATTATAAGCACACTCGCAAAATTTCAACATGCGGAAACACGTAGTTTTTAAGAAAAATATTTTAAACTTGTTATTTTCACTAAGAAAGTTTGCCATATTACTAATTTGATTTCACAAAAACTCAATACACAGTACTGCCAATATGATTAACATAGTACGCGAGCGACGTCATACTCGTATCGATTGTAAAAAAAAAAAAAAAAAAAACACTTATTATAACCAGAACGTCAGTGCAACAGTTTTTTTTTTTTTTTTCCTTTTACTTAATAATTATTTTAATTATTAAGTAAAAGGAAGGAAACAGTGGTTTTGTTGAAATATAAATTTATTTCAACAGGACTAGGAAGCGGAATTTGGAAAAAGGAAAATAATCAAGAAGCTTAACGATACATATATTCAATGTGATAAAGTATTATTAATTACAGAATATTTATTTTTATTAATATCGTATTTACACAATTACACATAATACACACACACACACACACACACACACACACACACCACACACACACACACACACACACACACACACACACACACACACACACACACACACACACACACACACACACACACACACACACACACACACACACACACACACACACACACACACACACACACACACACACACACACACACACACACACACACACACACACACACACACACACACACACACACACACATATATATATATATATATAGTCCTTTTCCATGACTTGTTTGATCCAGCAAAATTAAAAGAGTACTTTGTTGATCCACCTTTCTGTCCAAATTTACTTGCCCTTAAGCTTTATTTTAAAGGCCGGAAAGCATATATTTGAACAGCGTATTGTGTCGCTTAAACATATTTCTAAATTCAGCAATATACTCTAACCGTTGTTTTATACTTTTCCAAAGTATTTGTGGCTCCGCGTAACGGTTTTTTCTCAGGCACTTTTTAAACATTTCTTGATCCCTGTGAGCGCGCATACGCAGCTCGACGTCAGTGTTGGGAAAATTAATTCCACAGTGTTTGTAATTAGAACTGAATTTACATGTACATTTTCTATTGAGTAAACTATTACTATATGTCGAATATAATAACCTAGATAAATATAATTGACAAAGAGATGGTTATACCCTATTTCTTATTAATTAGTTTACCATAGGATGCTAGTGAATAAATATTTTTAATATTGTAGATATTATCGCTTGATATTAATGAATCCTTGGGACATTATCAAAATACCTACTTACTATAAAGTGTATAGTTTTGTTGTTATGCTTGTTAGCACATGCAGCCTGTATTAATTCGATTGAGGTGAAGCCCAAAATGCTCTACTCCTAAGTAGGCATCCAAATATTATCCCGAGTTGATTTAAGCAACTGGAGCAGCAGCGAACTATGAGCTCAAAGAATATCATACATTTAATACAAATTTAACTGATTGTTGTTTGTACATAGAAGATATTTGAGAAAAACTTTATCAACGCAGTAGTATATAACAGTACCCAAAACAATGATAGTTAAAATTATTGTCTGTTTATCTGTTTGTCTGTGTGCGCTAACTTGGCTAATACGGCCTTTCCGATTTCAGTGCAACTTTTACAAATGCATTGTAGTAAGCTTCTCTTAACATTTATTGTTAGTTTTATTTAAGTCGGATGATAAATAAAATAGTTATATCAACTTAAAGAACCACATTGTAGATTTGTGCGATGAAACTATAGTTAACTATGGTCTGTAAAATGATGGTTTAAATAAAGTTAAAAAAAATCGCCCAAGTGCGAGTTGGAGTTGCGCACGAAGGGTTCCATAGGTATTTTTAAGCACGATATAATGTGCGGGCGAAGCCGCGGGCGCAAGCTATTTGTACAATATATTGCTACTATTGCACTAGGAAACGGATCAACAACGGTCGCAATGTAATGCGAGAAATGATGTAGTGTGAAAATTTCTTTAAAGAGACGAGGATGACAATATTTTAGTTTAATTTTAACTGTTAAATTTGTTTACAAGTCATTGCTCAACTCATTATCAAATATGAGTTTCGTTACAAGACAATAAATTATTATTATTTATTATGTAATCAATAGTGTTATTTAAGCTAATGGTATTCAGTGGGTTAAAGTTAGTGTGTGCGATTTATCGGACAAATCTTTACATCAAAAGAGACTCTAAAAGATTATTTTAACCAAATAAAATAGAATATTAAGGAATAAAAAATATAGTTATTTCTAGACACATCAATAAATAATAAGAGGACGAAAAAAAATATATAGATTATTTCTATGTAGTCTAACCCAGAATATTTTTGTCACTTCTTGAAAGAGTTAAGAAAAAATTTTTCATTGTTTTATTACCAATCTAAGGCATTGAAATATGAATAACGTTAATAAATCAATCAAGATTTTTTTAAATTTTTTAATTATTCTGTTCCTTTAAAAAAATTACTTGAATTGTAATTATTATAAATAAATACATTGTTTATAAGATTTTCAATTTTTTTCTTTTAGGAATATGATGCTTAATGAAAATATGACATTTAAGAAAAAAAATTTTCACTGCTAAAAACGCATTTTCTAAGTTACAATTTTTTGTTGCTTAGTGTTAACATTATGGGACGATTTTAATCAAATCATAATTTATCACGTTGTTACATGATAAAAAAATTATAATTTAATTCATTTTTATTGGTTTTGTGAACAGACGCTGTTTATAAACAAACGAATTACGAAAAACTTTGTTTATTATTTTTCTGTTTTTTATATAATTTTTAAAATAATGGTACACTTGGACATGTTTTTACCTATCAGGTATTCTCCATTGCTATAAAAACTACTTATAAACTATTGAAGATACGACTAGAACAATCCAAGTCTTATTTATTCTTCAACATTATTTTTCAAATATATTGAAGTAGTAAAAAGTACATTCATTTTATACGTGAATTAAATAATCAACTGTTGAGTATTGATACCAAAATTTTTTACTAATATTTATTAATTATTACATGTAAATTCTTAAATAATCTTTCACGCGCGCAACGAATTTACATTAAAATATAATAGTTGTGTTGCACGTGAATCTGAAAAGCGCGCGAGCGCTAGATATTGCTGGCCCTTTAAAGCATGTATTTAAACAAATATCACATTCACGAGATACAGTAATTCTTCTTAATAAGTAGGCACTGACGTCAAGTCATGATTTCAACCAATGAATGCTGCTGTGATCTGTGATTCCTCCGTTTGAATTGGATCAAATAAGTACGGAGTGGATTTGTATAAATTGTAGCTACTTTCAAAAAGATATTGACGAGAAGTTTTTGATCCGAATGGAGCCACTAAATCACATACATATGGTATTGGATCAACAAATCGGGTATGGATCAACAAATTTGAGCGGATCAACAAAAAACTGATCATACGTAACGCTGGATCAAACAACTCCTAGAACGGATAATATATATATATATATATATATATATATATATATATATATATATATATATATATATATACACCTATATATACACACATACAACACATACATTTATATATATAAACCTATTAACCAAATTATACTATAGTTTTATAGCATTTTTCTGAATAAATGAAGCTAATGTTTTATATACACAAGGGTCGTTATATGCTAAAAGGAATGGTATATTAATAGGAATAGGTATCCGGAGCAATAGAAGATCAGTAAAAAGAGAGGAGCGGTCATATAATGGACAAGAAAGGAAAATATGGTTCAAATTTCCTTCTTCCGTTCCACAAGCACATAAAGAAGTATCTACAACATGAATCTTAAACAGAAAAGACGGAGAACAGCAGTGACCTAATCGCAAACGAATTAAAGAACTAGTACAATATTTATTTAAATTGACTTGAGTATACCAAGGCTTATTTGGAATTGTCGGTTGAATTGAGGAGTAGAATTTTCCTTTCACTAGGCTAGGAGATGTCCAGTAATGTTCCCAGGACTCTTTCAAATATCGCTTCGACAAGGAAAGAAGATCGTGACAATAATTAGTGTAAGGATATGTATCACCGCTTAACACGGCTTCATTTGCTAACTCGTCTGCCTTTTCATTTCCTTTAATGCCACTATGCCCGGGAATCCATGCAAAAACTACTGTAATGTTTTTAACTTGGCATTTGTATAACAATTTTCTTATTTCTAAAATTATAGGATATTGGCATTTTGATTTAAGCGGAAAATGTGCTAATGTTTGTAAAGAACTTAGAGAGTCCGTAAAAATTATAGCTTTACATAAGTTTGTTAATAATATATATTCTACTGCGCGAAATAGACCAAAACATTTCCCCAGTATATACTGATGATTCGGGAGGTAATTTAATTTTTTGTACAATATTATACTGAGAATGAAATACTCCAACCCCAACACAACTATTATTGGTATGTTTAGAAGCATCACTATATATATAGTGCCAATTCTCCCAGTTATTTTCAATAATGAATTTGAAAGCTGTATGAATTTCTATTTCATCTTTTTTTATTCCAACATTGAGTTTTATGGAGGGTGTAAGAGTCAAGATTTTATAATCGGTTTCAAAC